TGATCTGGTTCTCATAGAAAGTGATGTTAAGGCGGTCCACAGCGGGCCTGCTACAGGGCTCAAAAACCTTTACCAGGTTCTTCACACACACTCCAGGCACCAACCCCGGAAGCTCCACTTCAAAGAAGGAGTCTTGGAGGGAAAAGCACATTGTAGAAACACAGCGCTTTAACCAACATTGTGCTTTCTTCAGTCCTGTGCTCTGCCCGTAATTTCACCTGCCCACAGGCTGCGGCGGCTTTGTAACAAGGATCACAATAGCAATGGTAATGATTGCATTGGCCATCGATTTAACACTTACTGTGGGTAAGGCACTGTTTCCAGTGCTTTCCAAGAATGGCCACATTTCACACTCGTAGTCCTATGGGTAGATACCACTAGGCTCATTTCAATAGGTTAGAAAGACCAAGACCAAGACATCACTTGTTCCATTGAGGTCACATGGCTTATAAGTGGCAGAGTTGGGGTGTGAGCCCAGAGCCCATACTCATCTGAAATAGTCCTTGCCTATATACTGAGTTAACCCCAAGCTCCATCTTTGCTCTCAGGCACAGTCTATAGGATTCTTCATGGGTTTCTGGCTCCAGCTCTTACTCCTCAGCACTCCAGGACAGCCCACTCTTCCTTCTCACGGCTCCTCTCTCCCTAGGCCCCTTCCATGTTGACCTACCCTTCCCCTCTCTCTACCACATCTTCTCTGCAGTCCACTCTAAATAGATCCCAGATTAATTATTGTCAGAGTATTAATTCCAAATATCTGCTCCCTGCTGTGTCCCCACATCCATTGCATTGTCTGTCTGTCTGTGCCTCCAGGCTCTGTGCTCCAGCCTAAAGCTGGGTAGGAATCACCATCCTCAGCTCTATTGTCGGTCATTTTGACCTCATCAAACCACTCCAGGAGGAGGGCCTTCCAGAGGCATCCCTGCCTGCAAACCAGCTCTGTGAGGACCAGGGTCTCCAATGTCAGCTTTGCCAAGCGGTGCTTGAGGGGTGCTAGAGGCTGGACCTTCTCATGCCAACGTTAGGCTAACTCAGAGCCTGTGTGCCTCTCTAAACCCAAGAAATACAGACACTCAGGCATGAGAACCCTTAGAAGAATTAGTTCAAAAGGGAAGACAGAACAGCTAAAGCCAGGGACGCAAGTCTTATGTACCCTGCCCATCAGCCCAGGAATGATTAGGTAACTTCCGCAGCCAGGAAAGGCTTCTGATGGCTGCAGTGAATGGACTCAGGGTTTGTAAACCTTGAGTGAAGTGCAGTCAGCTCTGCTAGACTCTTTCCCCTTACTGCACTTATTTTTGTCTTTCCTTGTAGCTCACATCCGCTTCAAGTCCCAGTGACCCAAGTCATTGTTCTAGCTAAATCCTCGGAAGCCAGCACATTCGTGCAATTCACTTGGGATTTGCCTAACAAGGGCACGAACACACTACAGACTTGGGATTTGCTTTCTCCAGGAAACATGCACTAATGTCTGGGTTGGACCATTCATCCCCCTCGTGTGCAGCTGGACATCGTATTTAACAGCAGTCAAGAGAGGGAGTCAGCTTCCTGGCCTTCCCTTCACCCGTCTGTGGCTTTGCTCTGGCACTACTGGCACTGCTAAGTTTCATAGTTTTTGCCTTGTCTCTGCTCTGTTCTTTTGAGGGGAGGACGGTATTACCACTCATTCCTTCCGGGTGCTCCGGATCCTCCATCTCCTCAGTTAAAGGTTCAGTCCTTTCCAGGGCCCTCTCTTCTCTGGTTGAACAACCTGGACCAACCAGAAGCCCATGTTACTCTTCAGTAAAGATCAAGCCAGGAGAGGAGGGGTAGAGGGAACAGATGAGCTCCCCACCTCAGGGGGAAGGCAGCTCCCTTCAACAGGCTCAGCCAGCATTGCTCTGAGACCAGCCTGCTGCATGGCCTCCAGCTCTGACCTGCTGCCAGGTCACGAGGTACTCAAATGTGATTGCACCATCTTCATCAGGCCCAGGGGGACTTTTGTAATTGGAGCCTGGGAGCTGGAGAGTTTCCATTTACTCTGGTGTTTGTTTTTAGGGGGAGCTGGGAATCAAACTCAGAACATCACACATGCTAGGCAAGCACTCTGCCACCAAGCTCCATCCCCAACCCTCACCTCTTCCTTTTAACGTGCTAGGCTTCCCATGTGAGAAATTGTGGTGAAAAAAACAAAAAACAAAAAACAACAAAAAACAGACAAATAAAAAATCTGCCCCAGGGTTAAATTTGGAATGAGTTAATTCTCTTTAGCCTACTATCTGGTCCTTTTTTGCTCCAACCTAAAACATGTCAGTCGTGGAAAGGTTTAACAAAAATCCATCTATAGTGAGAGGATGGGTAGCCAGCTTAAATCAGAGTTTGAGAAACAGCTCCCTTGAGAAAGCCACCTATTTGGGCATTCAAGAATCTTGAGGTTAACTCCAGGGTGGAACGTGGAACCTGGTGGGTGTTCAGGATTGTGAAGGGTAATAAACACACACACACACACACACACACACACACACACACACACAGACACACACACAGAGACACACACACACACAGACACTCACACACAGAGACACACACAGAGACACACACACACACAGACACTCACACACAGAGACACACACAGAGACACACACACACACAGACACTCACACACAGAGACACACACAGAGACACACACACACACAGACACTCACACACAGAGACACACACAGAGACACACACACACACAGACACTCACACACAGAGACACACACAGAGACACACACACACACAGACACTCACACACAGAGACACACACAGAGACACACACACACACAGACACTCACACACAGAGACACACACAGAGACACACACACACACAGACACTCACACACAGAGACACACACAGAGACACACACACACACAGACACTCACACACAGAGACACACACAGAGACACACACACACACAGACACTCACACACAGAGACACACACAGAGACACACACACACACAGACACTCACACACAGAGACACACACAGAGACACACACACACACAGACACTCACACACAGAGACACACACAGAGACACACACACACACAGACACTCACACACAGAGACACACACAGAGACACACACACACACAGACACTCACACACAGAGACACACACAGAGACACACACACACACAGACACTCACACACAGAGACACACACAGAGACACACACACACACAGACACTCACACACAGAGACACACACAGAGACACACACACACACAGACACTCACACACAGAGACACACACAGAGACACACACACACACAGACACTCACACACAGAGACACACACAGAGACACACACACACACAGACACTCACACACAGAGACACACACAGAGACACACACACACACAGACACTCACACACAGAGACACACACAGAGACACACACACACACAGACACTCACACACAGAGACACACACAGAGACACACACACACACAGACACTCACACACAGAGACACACACAGAGACACACACACACACAGACACTCACACACAGAGACACACACAGAGACACACACACACACAGACACTCACACACAGAGACACACACAGAGACACACACACACACAGACACTCACACACAGAGACACACACAGAGACACACACACACACAGACACTCACACACAGAGACACACACAGAGACACACACACACACAGACACTCACACACAGAGACACACACAGAGACACACACACACACAGACACTCACACACAGAGACACACACAGAGACACACACACACACAGACACTCACACACAGAGACACACACAGAGACACACACACACACAGACACTCACACACAGAGACACACACAGAGACACACACACACACAGACACTCACACACAGAGACACACACAGAGACACACACACACACAGACACTCACACACAGAGACACACACAGAGACACACACACACACAGACACTCACACACAGAGACACACACAGAGACACACACACACACAGACACTCACACACAGAGACACACACAGAGACACACACACACACAGACACTCACACACAGAGACACACACAGAGACACACACACACACAGACACTCACACACAGAGACACACACAGAGACACACACACACACAGACACTCACACACAGAGACACACACAGAGACACACACACACACAGACACTCACACACAGAGACACACACAGAGACACACACACACACAGACACTCACACACAGAGACACACACAGAGACACACACACACACAGACACTCACACACAGAGACACACACAGAGACACACACACACACAGACACTCACACACAGAGACACACACAGAGACACACACACACACAGACACTCACACACAGAGACACACACAGAGACACACACACACACAGACACTCACACACAGAGACACACACAGAGACACACACACACACAGACACTCACACACAGAGACACACACAGAGACACACACACACACAGACACTCACACACAGAGACACACACAGAGACACACACACACACAGACACTCACACACAGAGACACACACAGAGACACACACACACACAGACACTCACACACAGAGACACACACAGAGACACACACACACACAGACACTCACACACAGAGACACACACAGAGACACACACACACACAGACACTCACACACAGAGACACACACAGAGACACACACACACACAGACACTCACACACAGAGACACACACAGAGACACACACACACACAGACACTCACACACAGAGACACACACAGAGACACACACACACACAGACACTCACACACAGAGACACACACAGAGACACACACACACACAGACACTCACACACAGAGACACACACAGAGACACACACACACACAGACACTCACACACAGAGACACACACAGAGACACACACACACACAGACACTCACACACAGAGACACACACAGAGACACACACACACACAGACACTCACACACAGAGACACACACAGAGACACACACACACACAGACACTCACACACAGAGACACACACAGAGACACACACACACACAGACACTCACACACAGAGACACACACAGAGACACACACACACACAGACACTCACACACAGAGACACACACAGAGACACACACACACACAGACACTCACACACAGAGACACACACAGAGACACACACACACACAGACACTCACACACAGAGACACACACAGAGACACACACACACACAGACACACACACACACACACAGACACAGAGGTACACACACACAGACACACACACACACACACACACACACACAGACATGTATTTTTTTTTTTTTAATTGGTATTTGGTCTAAAAGGGTGTCAATAACATCCTGGAAAGGGAAGAAACAGAAAGGCCATCCAGCCCAAGAGGAAGCAGGAGCATGAGGAAGCCACCAGCACCAAGCCCTTAGAGCTCAGGTTCAAGTGCAGATGGGCCAGCATCTGTGGGCATTCTCAGTGTCTGTCCACCAGGGCCTTTACATGTGCTGGATGTAAGAGAGTAGCAGGCTGAGGCGCAGTGGTCAGAGATGTGCTGCTTGCTGTACTTCTGGCGCTGCTTTCTGAAGCAGCTTTGACTTTATTCCCCACAATTCCTGAAGTCAACATACGGCTAGCACACTGTCCTCGGGTGTAATGAAACAGCCAGAGCAAACGTTTTCTAAATAACTGCTGGAGAGACTTCCTTATCAGGACATGTCCTAGATTCTGTCCCTAGTGTCAGGTGGGGTTTCTGTAAGAAATGGATGTGTCTGGGGTGCCATTTCTTCATCTATGAAAAGAGGAGTTGGGGAGTGACTCCGTTGCTTTCTGATCTAGATAGCCTGAGGGACTGAATTTCGTCTAGCCTGTGAGACAAGTGAAAAATATTTCCCTTCTGTCAGCAAAAGTCTATGTGTCTTGTTTTAAAGGAACATGTTTCTCAAGATTTTTTTTTCTTGAATAACAGAGTACCTCTTGGGATAATAGATGGGGCAAATGAGCATGAACCCTGATGTTCACTGACATTAAGAACATTCCAGGGGCACTCCTGTGTTAAACATTCCTATTTATGATGGGTTGATAACTTTATGACAGTGGACATTTAAAGGTTTGGAGATAGACATGGTACACAAAACAATATAATAGAAAACCACTGGGTTGTTAAAACACTGTTTGTTTAACTATTAAAAATGTATATAGGGAAAAATACTTGAGGGGGGACCCTCAAAATGTCAAACAAACAAAAATCTATACAAGTCTTTTAAAGACTTCATATTAAGCCCCTAGAAGAACTAAATATGTGCTTAAAGGATAAACCCTGGCCCAGAATTAGTAATTCAAAATGAAGTGCCAATAGGTGAGAGGTAAGTTCCAAAGCATTTTTTTCTTTCCTGAACCTCCCAGTTCTGGGGAAGACTGTAGCTCATAGATCTACCATTTCTCTGCCTTCTCAGAATTCCAAAAGACAGTGATCTAAAGGTTTTCTTATGATTTTTTGAGATCTCTTGGCCTCCTGTTTTTGTTTTTGTTTTTAAGATTTATTTATTTATTTATTATGTATACAGTGTTCTGCCTACATGTATGCCTGCAGGCCAGAAGAGGGCACCAGATCTCATTATAGATGGTTGTGAGCCACCATGTGGTTGCCGGGAATTGAACTCAGGACCTTGGGAAGAGTAGCCAAAGCTCTTAACCTCTGAGCCATCTCTCCAGCCCTTGGCCTCCTATTTAGTTTAGGAAGAAAGATAAATCATATTTAAGAGGCTATGTCATTAAATGCCCTTTTGGCTTCCTTTCCCATAGAGCTGTGGTAGTGTTTGCCTTTGGGATCAACAGTATAGCTTCTGCCTCATCTTCAGAGTGAATTACTGTGTGCTTCAAGAATCTGGAGAATAATGGCAGATGAGGAAGGAGGCAGCAAAGGTTGAAGGCAAAGCTCCCTTCCTGGATCTCTGCTTTTAAAAGTAGGAAAAAGGTGTTTGACTCCTGAAATGATGCAACCCCTCTTCAATGAACTGTCAATTTTCCACTTTCACTCTGGCTCTGTGACTCACCAAAGGTAAGCCTATGGAAGCTATAACGCTGTGATGACGTCCTGCAGGCAGCTGGAATCATCACTTGACATGAAGGGCTACCTTGGCACTTTCCACACATCTTACACATACCCCAAGGAACTAGTTTCAATCCTGAAGTGTTTCTGTTGTTGTCATTTTGTTTTCTTCTTTTGTATTTATTTATTTATTTATTTATTTAGAGACAGGGTTTCTTTGTGTAATGAGGGCTGTCCTGGAGTTCACTCTGTAGACTAGGCTGGCCTTGAATTCACAGAGTGCTGGGATTAAAGTCATGTGCCACTACCACCTGGATGTTTTAATTAAAAACAAAACAAAACAAAACAAAACAACCAACCAAACAAACAAAAAACAACTTACCTTCACCTCCAAGCCAGTAAGACTCCTGTAGAAGGAAGTACCAGGGAAGTGGTGTCCCATAGTCTCCTGGGAACAGGAAACCAAGGAAAGAGAAAACAGTGAGCCCCAACCCCTCATGGCACGAAAGCTCTATAATATACCAAATCTAAATTTCAAATTATAGCTACAGGCATTGATGGGTACAGCCATTATGTAGATACCCACAGGCTATCAGACAGACTGCTTCTTTCAGTAAGTTTGTAATCAAAATACCATGGTTTTTTTTTGGGTGTTACCAGCAACACTAACAATGATAATCTTGGTTGACATCAGTTTTCCAAGAAATAAATGTTATTGAAGAATTAAATCATGCAATTTTTTAGCAATTACCAGAAAACAATAATATTTGCTGATCACAAATATTTGCTGAACTCTATTTATGTAACGGGCATATTATATACTTTGCATGTGTTACATCACTGCATTCTGAAAACAACCTGAGGAATGGGGTGACAATATTAGTCTGAAGGATGCAGAAACTGAGGTGTGCTACCTTTGAGCCATCTGCCCCAGTCCATAGCTAGTTAAATGAAAATGCAAGAATTCTAACACTGGCAATCTGGTTCTGATACCACATTCTTAACTCCCCACATTCTACTGGAATCTGCTGTATTATAAGGGGAAAAAGGCTCCCAACTTTCTGATTCAGTTGTTTTTGCAACTTTTGTTCCCCTTAAAATGTTGATTTTTTTTTTTTTTTTTTTTTTTTTTTTTTTTTTTGTTTTTTTTTTTTTTTTTTTTTTTTTTTTTTTTTTTTGCCAGGTGGTGGTGTGTACACCTTTAATCCCAGCACTCTGGAGGCAGAGGCCAGCCTGGTCTACATAGTGAGTCCAGGACAGCCAGGGCTGCACAGAGAAACTCTGTCTCAAAAAAAAAAAAAAAAAAAAAAAAAAGGAAAGAAAGAAAGAAAGAAAGAAAGAAAGGAAAAACCTGAACATGGGTCCTCTGGAAGTGCAGCAAATGCTCTTAATCTCTTTAGCTCTCGTTGCCTTTTAAACAGTGATGGCTTTTGTCACTATTAGACTGTGATTCAAGGGCAAGCCTGGATATTTTTTTTCTTGTGTGTGTGTGTGTGTGTGTGTGTGTGTGTGTGTGTGTGTGTGTGCTTTCATAGGTTCACATGCCACGGTGCATATCTAGAGGTCAGAGAATGACTTTTAAGTTATCGTTCTGTCTTTCTCCTGTGTTTGAAGACTCGATCTGCCCTGCCCCATTTCTGCTGCTGTGCCCATCCTCCAGTCTCTTCCTACCATTTCCCGTGCCAGTGCTTGGATTAGTAATGGCAGCTTTTTAATGTGAGTTTGGAAACTGAACTCAGGTCATCAGGTGTGGCAAAAGCTCTTGCCCATTGAGTCATCTCTCCAGCCCATGTTGGCTTTCTCTATCCTCCACACCAAGATGGATCAGATGACATTGTGCATACAGACAAATGTGCCACCCCTGAACTCCTTCCTGAGGCCCAGATCTGCCTTTTCTAAATGTCCTCATCCCCAGAATGTGGCCACATAGGGGCTGCTCAGTAAAGAGTTGTTGATGAAATGAAAACTTTAGCTTGGCTAAAATAATGTACAAATTCCTATTCCATCCCAACTAATTTTCACTTATTAGATCTCTTTCCAATGACACAGGGAAATAAAACAAACAAACAAACAAGCAAACAGACTGAGCAAGTTCAAGTGTCTTGCTCAGGTCACTGTCATAGGTGGAATTATGTATCTCTCCAAGAAGGGATCAATGTTGATGTCTGTGATGTTATATAAAATATATGTGGTCATTGTTCCCAGTTCAGTGCAGGCCGTGGAACTCTAATGTCCCTGAAATTTTCCAAGTGCTAAGAGTAATTTTCTTTGTCATTGTGTGATTGCTTTTCTCTATTGTGTCTAAGCTAATGCTATTGAGGTGGCTCAAGGGAGAGCAGCAAGATGGCTTCACATCTGGGTATTGCTCACCAGAAAGAACAAATGTGAAGAGAGAAAACGTTCAGCCCAATCTCTCATCTCCAGGAAGAGGAAGGGGCAGCAGATGACTCCAAAACCTCAGGAAGAGGACTTGAAGAGATTCTGGGCTGTCAACCACATTGCAGTGGTGGGAGGTGGTACCTTAGAGAAGGCAGCTCCAGAACACCCCATTCCTGCCCCCATTCCTCACCTATGGCTGTTCTTGAGTTATATCCATGACAATAAAGCCATAATCGAAAAGAGAGCACTTTAGCAAAGTGTTAGCATCTGAACGGGGCGGGGCGGGGGGTCTCACAGGATTGCCCCAACTCTGGAAGTCTCAGACTGGAATTAAATGGCTAGTGACAGGGAATTTGATGGTGTTTGAGAAAACACACATTTAGTGTCCAAGTAGTATCAAGGGGGAAAAATAACAAACAAAAAACAAAAACAACAAAAACAACAGAGTCCCAGCCTTATATCTCAAAACATGGTGTTATTTAGAAGGTAGACTTGCTTAGTTAAGTTAGGAGGGGTCATACTGGAGTAGGGGGAGGATTGAAGCAATGTGCCCGAAAGCCAAGGGAAGCCAGAGGATCAAGACCCTCCAGAAGCTTGGTTTTATGGGCAGCATGGTCTTCCCAACAACTTCGTTTTTTTATTTCTAGCTTTCAGACAATGAGATTAAAAACAACAACAACAAAACTCCATTATGTTAAGCCAT